TTCCAGCAATAATGCAGTAATGGTCCAATTAAATTCAATTAAATTCAAGAAAATTGAAAACTCTTTCCTATTGATGGCATTAAGAAGTCACTTTTAATAAGAGAAAAAAAATTGTTTTTTCTGGAAGAAGACTAATTTGGTCAAATTTTACTGAAGTTATTTAAAATTCCTGACTTGATTAAATGTCTTAATATTTGGGATTCGCAAAAAACATGACTGCTGGAAAACTTGCATACTCCTAGAGCAGTAAATTAGCTGGAATAAGCCTGTATATCTATGAGGTAATTTTTCAGTGATGTTGCTCCACATCCTTTAGTACATTTCCATGAAGACAGACTACCTGATTACTGTTTATCTGACTGAGCTTAATACTTCAGAGCTTTGTAGTATGGTGCATCAGTGTAGACCATCAGTATAGACAAGGTTCTTGGGGTGAATCTGATCTTTTATTGGACCAACTCAAATAGTTGAAAAAATATTCTTCTTGGCAAGCGTTTGAGTTTAAATACCCTTTGTCAGGGTGAGGAAGCATTTGCAGTTCTTGTGTGCTCTTCCTGGCTGGAATGAATAGTAAAGAAGCCAGAGGCTGGTATACATGTGTGACCACTGGGCCTGGAACATCCAGTAACGTGCCGCCTTGGTCCGAGTGGCCGGTGGTGTTCGCCCCACAGTCTCTGGTAGGCCATCGAGTAGGTGTTTACTCCCAGAGTGGCCTCCCACTTGTGGCCTCTCCTGCCACAGCTTTGAATGTTACCCCATTGCGGGGGGTGATTACTCAGGGTCCCTCTGTGGCATGGGGTCCATCCGGTGGTCATCTGCGGGGCTCCACCTCCCCTACACTCCAGTCTTATGCCACACCTCGGTGGGTCACTGAGTCTTCCTGGCCACACTCCCACTCTCGTTGCACTTTTAGTTATGGCAGCCTTGCTAGCCCCCTCCCATCTGGGGCACTGGTTCCCCGAGGCTCATTCGCTTGGTTAGCCTAGGGTTGCCTGCTAACGGTAATCCAGGCCTCAAAATTGACTCCCTCCAGGGTATGGTGCCTGACTTGTGCCCTAAACAAAGGCAGAGCCCAAAAGAGCTCTGCTGCTGCTACCTTGGCTGTGTTGCCTAGTCCTACCCCTCAACCCCTCCAAATGGGGGAAACACAAAGGAAAACACACAACAACACTCTACTATGTTGTGAGGGGCCCATGCATTCCCTTCCCTGGCTCCTACACCAGGGTGCCAGGCACCTTACTCTCTAAGCATTATCAAGGGGCTGACCTCTACATGGGGCCGGGGTAACCCATGGCCTCTCGCCTGGGTCGTCTCTCCCACTTTATCCAGCTCTCTACGGGATGTGACTCTGCTCCCCTTCTCTCCCATCAGTGACATCACTGTTTAGCTGCCCCATAGCCCCTCCGTGTATGCCCGGTCGCTCGTTACATCCAGGGGTGTCACCCTGCCTCTGGTTGCCTCACTTCGCAGTCCTTCACACATGTAAATAGTACATGGGAAGTCTGATGTTAGGCAGGTTATAATGTGTCATAAATCCAATATCTATATTTAGTCCATGATTTTTTTGTATCGGGGGGTTGTTTGTATAACAACACAGCCTCATGACAACCTCTCCCTATCAGACAGAAAGAACAGAGAATGTCTAAGGTGTAACCACCAAATAGTAATATAACCAGCAAATGAAGGAGGAGCCATAGTCCTTAACTGTGAAGACTACATAAAAGAAGCCAACAGACAACTCTCTGACACCACTTATTACAAAGGACTACAGGAAGATCCTTCTCCCCTTGTCACCTTGAAACTCAAGAATACTATCAAATCACTTCCATCAGAACTACAAGAAAAACTACAGAACTTGAATCCCCCACTTCCTAACCCAGGGATTTTTTACAAGCTCCCTAAAATCCACAAACAAGGGAATCCTGGCAGACCTATCATATCCAGCCATGGAATCCTAACTGAGGAAATATCAGGTTTTGTCAAATCAATTCTAAAACTGTATGTCACCCAAAGAGCGAGTTTTGTCTAAGACACTACAGACTTTCTATGAAAACTTAAAAACATAGACCACCTTTCCAGCAACACCCTCCTAGTCACCATGGATGTTACTGGCTTATATGTCACCATCCCACACCAGGGTGGCATCCAAGCCTGCCTTACATACTTACAAGAGCAAGATGATAACTCCGAGTACAGACCCAAAAATATTACTGACCTTATACACTTCATCCTCACACACAACAACTTCACTTTTAATAACCAACACTTCCTCAAGACCGTGGGCACAGCTATGGGCACCAAAATGGCCCCACAGCATTTTTATGAGTCACCTGGAAGAATTCCTCTTGACTGCTCCATCAAATCCTTGCTATACTTAAGATATATCAATAATATCTTCATCATTTGGACTGAAAACTTGCAATCTCTGATTGAGTTCCATCATAAATTCAACAATCACCACCCCTCCATCTGACATACTCCAGCACCAACATCTTCATTTTAGATATGATGATCAGTGATCACTATTTAGAATGGTAAAATACAATATACAAGAAACCCACAGACCAACATACATATCTGCACAGAACCAGCAATCATCGTAAACACACCAAGAAAGCTCTAATAAACAGCCAAGCCCTCAAATACCCCACTGGGGTCTTTACCCAAATAGAGCCCGTGGTTCTGGCCAAACCCAAATGGAGCCTGTGGTCCCTGCCCCCACCCTCAGACCCAGCCCCCACTCGGAGCCCCTGGATCCATGTGGAGGCTCCCTAGCAAGACTGCAGGCAGATACCTCCCCTTGTGGAGTATGCTCAATGACGGAAGCCCTGGGGTGCCAGATTAGGGAACTCCAGGCAATGGAAGCAGATTACATCTCTTGCTGGACCTCTGAGGGTGAATCACTGCCTTTCTGGTTCTCTGGGTGCTGTAAGTAGAGGGGTAGGGATGTGCTTCTCCTGCGGGTAGTGGACCTCAGAGGCTGCAAAGGCCTCAGACAGTTTCAACGCCTCCCATTCACAAGTGGGAGGCAAATTCTGGCGCACCCACCGCTGTGTCCACTGCACTCCATTAGAGATGTGGAGCAGGAGCTGGCCTCTTACCTTCAGGCTCTCCACCTGACGGCTGATGACAGCGTGGTGGAACCAAAGAACCACCACAAAGTCCAGCCTGAGGTTGTCTGGATGACGGTTGTTTGTGGCCCAAAGAGGTGCAGCCACCACGGTTACTGCTGCCCTGGAGCTGCACAGCCATTTTGCACCCCTCACATCTGCTGGCTCCAGCATATGTGAATGGAGAGCCACCAGCACCTGCACCCAGAAGAAGGCACAGAGTTATCATGGTGGGTGACTCCCTCCTCAGGGGGACAGAGGGAGCAATCTGTCTCCCTGACCCCTTAGCCCATGAGGTCTGCTGCCTGCCTGGAACTTGTGTCCGTGATGTGACGGAGAGGATCCCCAGACTTGTCCAGTCCTCTGACCACCATCCTGTGCAACTCATCCATGTGGGCACAAATGATATGGCACGGAGCAGTCTGGGCTGGGTCATGCATGACTACAGGGCTCTGGGGGCTGGGCTCAGGGGTCTGGGGGCTCAGATAGTTTTTTTCATCAATCCTTCCAGTTGCAGGACATGGGCTCTGGAGGGAAAGGTGCATTGGTGAGGTGAATAGAAGACTCCAGTGATGGTGCCATCAAGAGGGGTTTGGCTTCTTTGGCCATGATCTGCACTTCAGAAAGAGTGGACTGTTGGGAAGGGACAGCCTCCACCTCACCTGGAAGGGGAAGAAGCTCTTCTCAGCCAGAATGGCTGACCTTCTTGAAAGGGCTTTAAACTAAGACCACTGGGGGATGGGCAATCTATTAACAGTTCTAGCCCAGGTCATTTCAGCCGCACTACCAATAACTTGGGCAGCCCAAGGGAACCTGCTCTAATAACAGCCCAAGGAAATGTCCTGTTCCCCCCCACATTGGGAAGCATGGGGCTTCTCATGGCAGACTCAACTGCCTATACACAAATGCCAGGAGCTCGGGAAACAAGCAAGAGGAACTGGACCTTCTCTTATGTGAAAATGACTATGACCATGTAGGGATTACAGAGACCTGGTGGGACTCTACCTATGATTGCTCTGTTGCTTTGGAGGGTTATATCTTATACAGGAGAGACCACCTTGGGAAGAGGGTTGGGGAGTGGCTCTTTACATCAAGGATCAGTTCACTTCCCTGCAAATTGAGTTTTCTAACCAGGAAGGGTGTCTTGAGACCCTCTGGGTCAAAATATGGGAAGAACATGTGGAGGGTGACATACTTGTGGGAGTCTACTATAGACCTCCCCACCAAGAGGAAGAACTTGATCAGGAATTCAATAGGGAACTGGTCGAGGCTGCATACTCTCAATACATGATTGTCATGGATGACTTCAACTTCCCTGACATCTCTTGGGATGAGCGCACAGTCAAATCAGACAGGTCATGCAGCTTTCTTGCTTGCATTGATAACCTCTACCTAACACAGGAAGTCTATGGGTCAACTAGGGGAGAGGCATTGCTTAATCTGGTCCTGGCCAAAGGGGAGGACCTGGTGAACTATCTGAGGATTGAGGGGAAGTTTGGTGACAGCAACCATGATTTGGTCACCTTCAGTTCACTGAAGAGCAGGAAAATCCCTCAGTAAAACAGAATCCTTAACTTTGCAAGAGTCATCCTTCCCAAACTCAGAGATTTGGTAAGTAAGGCAATTACAGGTCATACCCACCTAGATAAGGGAGTACATGAGGAATGGTCATCTCTCAAGAACATAATCCATGAGGCACAGGGGAAAGCCATTCCATCTCACAAGAAATGTAATCAATGGGCAAGGAAACCCCTTTGGCTGAACAAGGAAATGTTGGACCTCATTAAACTCAAAAGACAAGCCTACTCCAGTTGAAAAATGGGAAGCATCAAAGAGCACTCAGCACTTGCCCATACCTGTAGGGAGTGGTCCAGAAAAGCCAAGGCACAAACCGAACGCAGGCTAGCTTCGGGGATCAAGGACAACAAAAATTCTTTCTTCAGATATGTGGGAAGTCAAAAAGAATAAAGATAGCATTGGACCCCTGTGGGATCAAATGGATATTAAAACATTCATGGCACTCAGGCAAGGCCCTGGAAGACTGGAAAAGCACCAACATGGTCCCTATCTTCAAGAAAGGGAGGAAGGATGACCTGGGGAATTAGACCAATCTGTCTGACATCCATCCCTGGAAAAATCCAAGAGAAAATTGTCAAGGGATCCATCAACACCAGACTAGCAGAAGGCAAGGCCAGCCAACATGGCTTTGTGACTGGAAGGTCTTGCCTGACCAAACTCATCTCCTTCTATGACCAGGTGGCATGAACCCTGGACAAGGGAGATGACATGGATGTCATATATCTGGATTTCAAGAAAGCCTTGACCTAGTTCCCCATTATGTCCTCATGGCTAAGCTGGGGAACTGTGGCCTTGATCATCTTATGGTCTGATGGCTAGGTAACTGGCTACAAGGTCGGACCCAAAGAGTACTAGTTGATGGGCCAAGTCAATGTGGTGCAGGGTGAGCAGTGGTTCCTCAGGGCTCGGTACTTGGGTCGGTACTCTTTAACATCTTCATTAACAATCTGGAGTTGGAAGTCAGATGCGAACTGGCAAAGTTTGTGGATGACACCAAATTATGGGGGAGTACAGTCACACCACAGAACAGGCTGGGGTTACAACTTGGGCCAACTTGGACATGCTCTCAAGGTGGGCTGACCAAAACCAGATGTCCTTCAATGTTGGTGCTTGTGACTGCCGGGCTGGGGTCCTCCTTGTAGGTTGCTCGTCTGTGGGAGGAGGACCGCCACCGATGTCCCTGAGTTACCACTGAGTGGGAGTGGTTGTTCTGACGTCCATTCCCCGCCCTAGTTCTCGCCCGCCATGACTTGTTGTTACGTTCAGTTAGGACGGTTCCTGGGTACTCCGCGGCCTGTGATCCCTCGGCGGTCACGATGCGGGGCTCCACCACCCCCTGCACCTTGGCCTTACATCTCCTTTAGTGCACCTGAGACTGAGGGACTGCTCTCCTACTGCCCCTTCGGCCCGATCAGCCCCTGCCGTCAGGTCCCTCATATGCCGGTTGACCCAAAGTGGGGTCCCGGTGAGAATTGAGTTTCTCTATGGGGTCCCTGTCCCTATTGCCCCGGCTGTACCCCTCAGCCGGGGTATTCCTTTACCAGGAAACAAAACCCTAACGGGAACTGAAAGCTTGGCCCTTCGGCCCTTTTGGCTGGGCCTCCCGCCCGGACCCTCCATGGCCCCTGCTGGGAGAGACCCGGTCACACACTTAGTCTATGCGCGCAGTTGGGATGGCAACAGCCTCCACCCCTCTGTGCCCCCTTAGGGCCCTTCGGGGTCTGGACCTTCTCGGGCGATGCCGCGTCCCTGAGCCAGCGTCCCAGCCCTGAACCTGCAAGCCTCATAAGTTTCAGGTTCGCAGTCCCAGAAGTCCTCTCTGCTGGGTTCCTCGTCCTCGGAGCCTGTCTGCTGCTCCTCCGTTTTTGTTCTGCGGTTGGTCGTCGCAGGTATCTTCCTTGCCATCGGGGCCGGTAGCAGCTCACTGCCGGAGCTCCCTGCCTCGTCCTCTGGGGAGTTTGTCATTCACTTGGCTCTGGAGTCCTTGGCTCCAAGTGCAGAGCGGTTGATGGCTCATCCTGCTCAGGGTTGCCTCGCCCCTCCTAGGGCGGGGCCCGTGGCCCATTCCCTTTCGGGGCCTCCAGCCTCTGTGGGTGAGGAGTTCCCAGCTCCTTCCTCCCCCTGTTCCTTCCCCGTGGCCATTTTTATCCCCGGCGGCCATCTGCCGGTGCTGACGCCAACTTCTGGTCGCGTCGGCGTAAACACGCGGCAGATGCCCCGCGTGGGCTTCTCTGCCGCCATGGGTAAGTCCTGTCCCGGTTCCCCGGGACAGTGCTTCACCTCGGTAGGAAGAACCCTCAACACACTTACAAGCTCGGCCATGCTATGCTTGCTAGCACCACGACTTAAGAGACTTGGGGGTCCTGATTGACCACAACATGAATATGTGTCACCAGTGTCATTCTGTGGCTGGCAAAGCAAAGCAAACCAAACTCTGGCACGTGTCTACCAAGGCATCTCAAGCAAAACCAGGGATGTCATCCTCCTGCATTACTTGGCCTTGGTGAGGCCACAGCTGGAGTTCTGTGTCCAGTTTTGGGCCCCCCACTTCAGGAGGGATGTGAAAAAGCTTGAGAGTCCAGTCCACTTGTATGATCCAATGCCTGGAGGGCAGGCCATTTGAGAAGAGGCTGAGGGATTTGGGACTCTTTAGTCTAGAAAACAGAAGGCTTGGGGTGACTTGGTAGCAGCCTACAATTATATAAAAGGGGTACATCAGGACTTGGGAAAATAGCTGTTCACCGGAGCTCCCCAAGAGATAACAAGGTTTAATGGCCACAAACTCCAGGAAGACCAATTTAGATTAAACATAAGGAAAAAGTTCTTTATGGTGCGTGTGTCCAGGATCTGGAACAGACTCCCCCCAGAGGTGGTGCAGAGGTGGTGCAAGCACCTATTCTGGACTCTTTCAAAAAATGTCTGGATATTTTTACATCTTCATTAACTGCCTTTCTTGCATGCATACCAGCCTCTGGCTTCTTTAGTATTAATTCCATCCAGGAAGAGTGCACACCAACTGCAGATGCTTCCTCAGCCTGAAAAAGGGTATTTAAACCTGAAAGTTTGCCAAGAAGAATTTTTCTAACAATTTTTTGAGTTGGTCTAATAAAAGATATCAGATTTGCCCAAAGAACCTTGTCTGCCTGTGGCCTTAGACTAACACGGCTACAACCTACACCTCTGACCATCAGTATAGGCTCTTAGTTTAGGATACTGCTTATAAGATCATGAATTCGTGAGGTTCAATCCTGCCTTTTTGGCCTTTTAAGAATAATCCCACTTCACTTGAATGAAGTAGGTTTATCTCTATGGGTGCATCTACATGTGCGCACTACTGTGTGGTTGATACTATGCAGTTATTTAGTACTTGCTCTAGCAAATAATAAATGTCTGTGCTGTTCCCATCAGTACTGCACAGTCCTAGCAGTGTACAGGTTGTTTCTGACCTGTAGATCCCTAGAGCATCTTCCAGCTTTTTCCCAGCTAAACAAAACAGGCAGAATTCAAATAAAAGATATACTAAGATGCAGTTTCTGCTAGAGAAAACCAAGATGATGAAAAGAACCTTAAAGAATTATCATGTGACTCCCCCTACCATTGCTGATTCTATATTCAATTGCTACTCCCACACTTCGATTATGCAAATGCTAGATGTGTCTTGATCTACAGCTTGGCTATAAAACTTCAAATACCAGAGAATGTAGCAGCCAGAAGTGTTCTTCAAGCAGAAAAGCATATAAGTGTTTTTTAGAATGTTCCAGGCTTAAATCCAAATTCTCCCACATGCTTGCATCACTTTTACACTACGGTAATTCTGTTAACTTTTGTGGAATTCCTCCTGATTTACACTCCTATCATTAACAGTGCATAGGAGCCTGTCTTTGCTACCAGCACCAATCAGAAAAAAAAAGAAAACATGTATCTTATTATGTGTGTCGTATTGTAGCTATCATTTGCCACTTTTGATAACATTAAAAATCCTTGGATTTTTCCATTGGTCAAAGTAATATAAATTGAAAGATTAGAGAGCTATATCCATGAATCGCAATGGAGGTATGCTGATTTATGCTAGTTAATGATGAGGCCCACAATATTAAAAAAATCCAGGAAATAATATTTATATCCTTCATTTTGGCAGCATGCTGGGGCTGATTCTCTTCTTACTCACAAGTTCTGCCCTGTTTTAACTTTATTGATCCTCACTGCTGTGATAAGAGAACTAGACTCAATATCTCATATGTACTGGGCTGAATCATGAACTTGTTTATATACCAACATTAAACTTAAAAATAGCAGAACTAATGTTTCTCATGTATTTATGATTGAGAAAGAATACAATCTATGAAAGTAGGGTTGCACCGATAGAGATTTTTGGGGCTGATACCGATATCTCATTTTTAACGAGGCATATCATCCGATACTGATCTTATTTCTGATACAGTGTGGAGAGCTGCCTCTATTTGGTAAGTCTATTGTGGTGGAAGGGATACGGGAGAGGAGTGGCACATGGGGAGTGTGCAGGGATAATTTGTAGCACGCCTGCCCAAAATGTTTGTACACACTGGTCCAGCTCGTGTTGAAGTAAGGATCCCTTAAATGACTGTCCCAGTAAATACAATTTATTTCAATTAGAAAAGCTGAAAACAATTCCAGACAAAGGGCTCTCCATGCTTCCTCATCTCATCTTGTTGTGCCTAGGTATCACAGTGCATGCAAA